AACAGGCATGCAGTGACAGTGATGCTGGGTTTCCGAAAGTACTCACAGTTGACTTGGCCGTATGCTGACTGACCACCGTGTGTTGCTGTCGCTGTGTCATGTGGCGAAAAGGAAGAAGAGGACAGAAGCCCCAGTGTCCTGTCATAGGAGACTCTAGACATTGATGTAAATCGGAACCTCAGTCCTGCTCAAGCTTGCAGCAACCTGTCTCACTCGCCTTCGAAGGCGTTACCGATTAGCTTTCAGACTTCCCTGCATCTTCAGATTCCGGTTAAACCGGAACTTGGCCTTGGACTTCCGCCCATGGCTGCCGAAGCTCCACCGGATCCTCGACTCGACCCCGGATGTCGCAAAATCTCTGAGAGAGGTTTGTTCCAAGTTGCTGAGAATAACCAGGGCCGGGGGCTCCTGGTTCACAAAAAAACCGGTGAGCGACATGTCGTCTTCGACTTCCGTGACATTCATGTTCACGAGGACCGTGCATTTGTGAGGCTCAGGAACGGTGACAAGCGGTGGCTAGACAAAATCTTTTCGTGGGCTCTGTGGTCTGTCACAGAGAGCGAAAAAGAGTTCGTCATCAAAACTGGTGAGAACGGGAACACCATCGTCTGGCTTGCAGATTTCCTGAAGAAGCGGCTCATACTGCATCCGCGAGCCGGGGGGGCCTCTCGGCAGCATCTGGTCAAGCGTCTGAGCAAGTGGGTTTGACATGAGCTCAAGCAACAGTACTCTAGAGTTGTACAGGCTCTGAGCGGCTCATCAGTTCTGCAACAACACGTTTTTCGTACTACTAGTACTTTACTAGGACTAGTACTAGTACTACTACTACTACTACTACTACTACTACTACTACTACTACTACTACTACTACTACTACTACTACTACTACTACTACTACTGTTACTAGTAGTACTACTACTACTACTAGTACTAGTACTAGTACGACACAACAACAACTACTACTAGTACTAGTACTAGTAGTAGTGCTAGTACTGCTACTGCTAGTGCTACTACTACGAGTACGACTAGTACTACTACTACTACTACTACTACTTCTACTACTACTACTACTACTACTCTTACTACTACTGCTATTACTAGTACTAGTACTAGTACTACTACTAGTACTACTACTACTACTACTACTACTACTACTACTACTACTACTACTATTACTACTACTAGTACTACTACTACTACGCAACAGGAGCTTCTGTGATCCAGTCTTGCTTGACTTCATGGAATGCTTTGCCGCCCTACCAAAACGTCCTCTTGGCGCTTCAGTAACAGAGGGCGTGCGCACCGCTGGCCGGGTGTGGGGCCCAGGCAAAGGGAATGCGGTCTGAGTCTCGGCTTGGAATGTCCTGCAACCCACGCCCCAGGGCCAAACAGCCTTGCGCCGGGCTGTCGCAGGGCGATGCGCTAATGCGCCTGCGGGGGCGTGGGTAGGCAGACCAGCCGTCAGTACCGGATCCTGGGAGGCATTGGTAGGCCACTTGATTGTCACAATTCATGATTGCTCTGCTTGAGTGGCGTTCGTCTTCTTTGCCTTACCTGGGGAGTCAAGTGTCCCCTGGTACATTGACTAGCCTTCGTCTTGGTCGCCTTACCTGGGGAGTCAACCCCTGCCCCATCATCTGGGTTGCTCCCCACACCATTGGCCGGGTGTGAGGCGTTCGGCTTTGCCTTGAGGCCAACCTCCCCCACGGCAGGGGGGTAGATGACAGCCGGGCATATGGGCTAATGCGCCGTGCTGGGGCAAAACTGGTTTAGCTGGTTTGGCCAGGCCAGACTCCAGACAGTCCGAACAAGTCAGGGAGGCCGCTCGTTGTTGTGACATGACATGGCTGTGTTGAGTGACCTTGGCTTGTGCTGCTTGCGCATGGTTTAATTTGCAGTTTTAGAAACTATTATTACTACTATGATGTTGTAGTGTGAGGGGTGTGGGTTGAGGTTAATGTGTGACAGTCGCAAGAGGTCGCCTGAAAGCCTCAAAGGGTGGCATGCTGTGTCCCCTTTCGCCCTCAAGCCGACGTCTAACCTGCCATGCGGGTCTTCGGACATGCCAAGCGGGAGCCAAAAATTACTACTACTACACCTACTTCTAGTACTGCTACTAGCGTGGTAGTACTAGTAGTAATAGTAGTAGTCGTAGTAGTAGTAGTAGTAGTAGTAGTAGTAGTAGGAGTAGTAGTAGTAGTAGTAGTAGTAGTACTAGCCACAGGACTAGTAGTAGCCACAGGACAGCATGACTACAAGAGATAAGACGGTGAGAGGACCCTTCGTGTCGGGGATATTTCGCAAGAGATCGCCTTGTTGCTCTAAGACTGACAAGGCCATAAGGCCCCATAGTGCTTTCTTTTTGTGGTTCCTATTAAAGATCCTATAAGGCAATCCCAACGAGGAGCTACTATGGACGGAGAGACAAACAGCACGATTGCAAGCAAGAGAGCGACATAGACAGACAGCGACAGAGCTACGGAGATGGAAAGAGAGAGAGAGAGAGAGAGAGAGAGAGAGAGAGAGAGAGAGAGAGAGAGGGAGAGAGAGAGAGCGAGAGAGACTTTCGTTGACTTGTCCATTGGCATGGCATGTTTGTTCTTGGCATGAGCTTGACCTTGCTTGCTTTGTCGTTGTCCTTACCCACGCAGAACATGCGAGACACCGTTGGCCGGGTGTCGGGACTGAAGTGCCATACGTTCCTGCTTCTGGCCAACCCACTTCGGTGGATGACAGCAGAGCACATGGGCTAATGCGTCTGCTGGGCAGGATCCTGTGCTCACCCGTTCGGTAACCCTCTCCCCCTGACCGTGCGGCCGGCGGTCACGTAGGGGTGCTTGCTTGCCGAGCGGGGACAGCCCAGTGCCTTGGCGCCCACTTGGGGTGGAACTGGGCGAGGGTTGCACAGTGCCTTCAGATTGCAGGGGAGGCCGCAAGAGAGACAAAGAGAAGGAAAGAGAGAAAGAGAGAGAGAGAGAGACAGAGCCACAGAGTGAGAGAGACAGCGTGACACCGTTGGCGGGGTGTCGGGAGGGGAGGCCAGGAGAGAGACAGCAGGAGACAGAAGGACAGAACCAGGGAGAATGAATCCACAGAAACCTACTTGTTTCAAAAAATCAACTACCTCAGGCCTCAAGAGAGACAACGAGAGAGAAAGAGAGGGAAAGAGAGAGAAAAGAGAGAGAGCCACACAGTGAGAGAGAGAGAGACCGTGACACCAGGGGAGGCGAGGAGAGGGAGAGAAGGTCTCAGATACAGAGAGACAGAACCAGGGAGGAGAATTCCACAGAAACCTGCTTGAAATTTTTAATTACCTAGCGATCTTTAGAAAGGCAACACAGGGAGCCCTTTAGTAGTAGTAGTAGTAGTAGTAGTAGTAGTAGTAGTAGTAGTAGTAGTAGTAGTAGTAGTAGTAACTAGTAGTAGTAGTAGTAGTAGTAGTAGTAGTAGTAGTAGTAGTAGTAGTAGTCAGTAGTAGTAGTAGTAGTACTAGTAGTAGTAGTAGTAAAGTAGGTAGTAGTACTAGTACTAGAACTAGTACTAGTAGTACTTACTAGTACAACTATTATTATTATTACTAAAAGTACTACTAGAAGTGCCACTAACTATTAATAATACCTACAACAAGAAAAAACAACAACTGCTGCTAGTAGTAGTACTAGGAAGTAATAGTACTAGTACTAGTATTACTAGGACTACTACTAGTACTAGGACTAGTAGTACTTTTACTAGAAGTAGTACCAGTGCGACTAAGTTCCCAGACCATATATTATATTAGTACCCGTCGGTGCAAATCCAAGGAAATTCCTCAGCCAGAAGGAAAGTTGTGGCTGGTGCAGTACCAGCTGCCTAGACCCGAGCACGGCTGCCGCTACTTTTGGTCTATGTCCTGCTTTTGCAGGTTACAGCCGGCGGATGTGAGCAAGGCCGCAAAACGGTCATGGACCGAGATGGGCAAGAAGATCCTGGAGTCCGAGCAGCACTTTCTCTGGCCTCTGGGCAGCCAGGAGAAGTCGTCTTCGCCGGATTCCAGGGTACACCAGGTGGCGGGCTCCACTCAGATGATGCTGCTGGTGCTGTTGAGTTCTGCTGTGTCAGGAAAGACAGAGGAGCAAAGAATTTCCTCCAGAGATTATTTGCATAAGCTGCTGAAATTCCTGTCGCCTTGGGCATGCACGGTGTCGGTAGAGGGAGTGGACTTCGACTTCGCCTTGGATGCAGATGCCCAGGTCGACCTTCGGGAACTGCTTGGGTCTCAGTCATGGCGGCAATGCCTGGCAGGCAAGAGGAGCCCTTTCAAGAAGCAGTTCAAGGAAGAGAAACAAAGACTGTGCGATGTTCTGATTAGCCTTCGCCTTGTCGAAAGGCACCATGACCTGCTGCGGCAGATCCTTCTTGCCATTGCTGCTGGGGTCGAGATCGCCCTCGACTTCCTGCCAGACGCTTTTATGCAGGACAATGAGATCGACGAACAGCAATTGGAACAGGGCCTGGGCTCAAAGACCTCGAGGGACATGGCACAGAGAGTCCGCAACGTCAGGTTTCTGCGCGGCCAGGAGCAGGCTTCGAAGTCTTCGTCTTCGAAGCCTTCGAAATCGACCCCTTCGTCTTCGAAGTCGACTTCGTCTTCGAAGACCCCCCTGAAGCTGACCACTCGTCAAAAAGCCAAGCTTCGCCAGATGAAGGCCAAGGTGAAAGTGTTGGTGACGAGAAAGGACAGGCACAGGGAAAGGGCATTATACTGGCAGGCAGCCCGACGCCATCTGCAAAGCGCCAAGCGGCTCGGCGTGGCCTTCGATGCCAGTCGCGTCGGGGGGCGAAAGCGGACCACTTACATCTTGCAGCACCTGACCTCTGGGCAAGCGGCCTGGGGTCCGCCGCAGGCCTGATCTATGCTTAAAATAACTAATTCAAAGCTCCAGGTGAGAACCATCATTAGTTGTAGCCGTTATTATAAGACGTTTCCTTAGATTGACTGACTACTTAGACTACTTGAAGAAATGTCGTTGCAGGTGCACCAAGACAGTGGTTACCGCTTGGCGGGTACAACCGCAGCCCCTGACGACGCAGTCGCCTTGGATCGGGTCGCCTTGGCCTTCCTGCGTGCCTTGGCGTGGATTAATTCATCAGGAATTGGCTTGAGTGAGTTCTTGGAAAATGCCTACCTTTCTTTGCTCTTCTCTTTCGTCTGTTTGAGTCTAACATCAGCAAATCATTTCAGGTGGCGAGCAAAGCAGAGAAGCCAGTGACAGAACGAACGACAGCGACGTCGCCTTCAAGAAATACAAAGGTCCACCTGAACGTGCTGCTGCCTACGACTCTTTGCTCGCCTTCGACCATTGTCTTCGAATCATGCATGATGATTCCGGCTTGCAGGCTTTCCTGCCAAAAGAAGGCGAAGGTCAGGAGGCAGAGGACTTGCGGCACAAACCCATTCTTTCTATCACATCGGACCACGGCTCCGAGCAAGAGTCAGCCCGATGGTTTCTTCTTTACGAACTCGGGTGTCGCGGGCTGTTTCTGTACGACGTGCGGCATCAACTGCACAGGGAGTTTGAAAATGCCACGAACCTTGCAGGCATGCGAAGCAAGATGAAAATGGCACAAGCCATACTTTCTTATTGCAGGGGGCCCTACAAAGGCGCCAAGTGGTTTCGCGTCCTCCAAGAAGAGGCCTTCGACTTCGCGAAGACCCTGGCCTTGGCTCAGGACGGCGCTGGGGAGGTCCTGCTGAAAGCCATCGCACCCCGGGTGGCCCGGGAGAAGGGCTTGAGTGCGGAAGAGTGCAGTCCGAAGGCTCTTCTCAAGATGCTTGAGGAAGCTCGCTTCCTCCGGTCGTACACCGGCAGCGGCAACTTCTCACGCTGGGACGAGTTTCACTCCGCATGGCGGAGCCGCCGAGACGAGAGCGGGCTGCTGCTGCTCATGCAGTCTTACTGCCTGCGAGCTGGCATTTTGAAAGGGTCGTCTTCGGGTGTCGACTTCGCCTTCGGTGTCGCGGAAGCGGCGGCCGCCGCCTCTGCAACGGCCAAGGCGGAGAAGGAAGGCTCCAAGACCATGAAGGAAGCCAAGGCCGCGACCACTGCCTTGTACAACAGGTGCAAGAACAAGTTCCACGTGGTCTGTCTGCTTCTCATGGACTTGGACCTCATGACCGCCTTGAACAGCTGGCATGCAATCACTTTTCCTCTGTCCAGACAGTTGAACACTTTGCGTAAAGAAGTCGGGGGAAGGCAAGGCGCTTTGGCCATGTGGCGTTCGTTCGCCTTGGGAGACTGGATTTCCGTTGTCTCTGAAATGCACGACGCCATGAAATGCACGACGCCATTTTCGATGCCGATCTTCATCGTCGCCTTGGCCTTCTAACGCATGAAGATTGCGCCGGCTCCATGTTCTACAACAAGTTGAGCGAGGAGCACCCCCTTGTCAGTCAACAGGACATGCTTTTCGGCCAGCTCTGCGACATGTTCTTCTGCGCAAGCTACCAGAAGTGCCTGACCAGCATGGCCTTCTTCGACTTCCCGCACAAGCTCGTCTTGCTGACCGGCAACGACACGTCGGCCATCCAAACAGTGTGCGTGGAACTCGAAGATCAGGCAAAGGCTTTTGAGACTGCTCAAGGCATTCGAACGAAGTGGTGCAAATCTGCCTGCCAGACCTCCCCCATGCAGCACCGGCTTGTGAAAGATGTGCTCCAGGACATTCGCCAGAACAATGGCAGCGCCACACCGATGCTGCGGACGGTCATGACGGATCTCTGGTCAAACTTAGCCTTTACCTTCAACGAAGAAGGATGCCGTGCGATGCGACAGCATGAACAAGGCCAGAACTTGAGTCACGCAATGCCGTCCATAGATGGCTGGGCGAAGCTAACAGGCGACAACATCCTGGGGTCCTTCGGCTACCAAGAGATCGAGCCGGATGATGCCGAGGTAGGGGATTTGGAGAATCAATGTTCGCCCCTGAAGCATTGAACGGAAAATCCAATTCAGTAAAGTCCTCCGTAATTTGAATCAAATAGCTTCTCCTCAGTCTTTTGTTTAATAACCCCCAAAAGGTCTCAGTCGGGACAGTGCCTTCGACTTTCTTCCACACTCGAAAGCTTTCGCCTTCGACGGAGGATCTGCGGACAATCCTGAATCGCAAAACATGGCCTTCGCTTTCGCCTTTGCGTGCCTCCGCCATCCCTGCAGAGTCAGCACTCATGGTGCGGTTCCACAAGGAGGGGCGGCTGCAGGACCTCGTCCACACCTGGCGGACCCGCTTCCTCCAGCGTGGGCTGGTTGTGAAGGACAGGAGATGCCCGGACTTGGTCTTCTTCAGCCTTGGTCCCTGGCCCACCTGTGCGGCGGCCCTTTGCATTTCCGTGCAGAAAGTCGAGGCTGCGGACAAGAGTGTGTGCTACACCTTGCCAAAGCCGTTGACACGGGGGCATCTGCACTGGAAGGTTGTGGAGAAGTTTGCCGACTGGCAGGTCCTGCAAACGACGATCGTGTCGCCTTTGCACGCAGGGATTCTGCAGAAAGGCAGCGGCAACAAAAAGAAACCTGCAGAGTTGCAGGTCCCACACCTTCCTGGGATGTGGCGCGAGCGTGCCAAGAATCCTGTCGCCTTGCTGAAGCATGCTGCTGCTCATGCCTACTGGGACATCAGCAGCTTCTACGTCAAGCTGCTCCTCCAGGACTAACCGGCTTGGCTAACAATACCTTTTTGAAATTTTTGTCACACTCTCTCATTGCTTCGTAAATTAATTAATGAAACTGTCGACAGGATGAGTTCGGCTTGGCAGAGGCGGAGACGGATTGGCGCGAAGACGACTTTGGCTTCGCCTTGGAGGCCGCAGTGGAAAAGGGCATGAACTGCAGCCCGGAAGAAGTTGCCAGCATTCTGGAGCGGAACATCCACTGGCGCTGTCCATCTGCGAATGAGGAGCTCGACGAGATTCTGGCTTCAGACATACTGGACGATGTCCTCGGGAAGGATGCTCAAAAGGACGTGGAGGCTGCGCAGCGGACACGTCAAAGCCAGGCTGTCGAAGCGGCGATGCTGACCAGAGCTGTGGCGAGGATTCGCAAGCGCATTCGTTCGACTTCGGGATCGGCTTCGAAATCGGCTGCGTCTTCGTCGTCTTCGACGAGGCGCAAAAAGGTCCGATTCGAGTCCAATGCTGCCTGGAGCGTCGAGGACTTGCAGCAATTGCTGCCGCCTTTTTACAGAGGCTACAAGGATCAGTTCAACAAGTGCTGGAGAGTGTTCCAGAGGCAGCACCGATGGAGCGCCTCCAGGTCTTGGGGTCCCAGCGGAGCAGATAGCAGGTGCTGCTACAAGCTACTGCACATGAGCTGGAGACGCTACCTGCAACTGAATCCTGGCGAGACTTGCCCGTTTGAGTTTCCGCCCGAGGTCTAGCGGGAGTCGCGACTTCGCCTTCGACTCAGGCCTTCGGGGCTTCGAATCATCGCGTCTTAGTCTTCGCCTTCGAATCTGAAGGCTTGGAGGCTTCGACTCGCGTCTTAGTCTTCGCCTTGAACTGAAGGCTTCGGGGCTTCGACTCGCGTCTTACTCTTTGCCTTCGACCGATGGCTAGAGAGATTCGAGTCTTCGCCTTCAACAGACGCTTCAACTTCGACCCACTTCCTGGGTTGGTTTTGCGATGGCTCGAAGGCTGGTAAGAAGGCTGCAGCGGCAGGCGGAACCAAAACAATCGGCACTTGCACTGGGCAAACAGTCAAAGTCAAGTCCTCATCTCAGACGATCACATGATGGACCACATCGTCGTCTCATGGCCTTCGCATGGCTTCGACGACGTTCATACGGTCCATGACGTTTCGGGGTCCTATGACGCCCTCGACTCGACCACCAGAATGCCCTGGCCAACGGCGATTCGGAGACGAGGCTGCCGAGCGACATGAATCCACTCCAATGACGAACAAGTTCGAACTGTCGCGGTGGCCTTGGATATCCTCGCCTTGGTGACACCAGCACTTGCCTCCTTCTGAGATGGGGGACAAAAAAAAAACCTTAACTAATCAGCGAAAAACCACCAGCCAAAATTATTTCTTCTCCCGACAGCTACACTCAAACCCATCAGCCTTTTAAATCGTCCTGCGACTTGCTGCCGCTGTGCGCAGGAGAGCTCTTGGCCACCGACTCTCAGGGTCCCAAGATTGATTGCTCTTGGGACCCTGGGATAAACTTTTCTTCTCGGCCTTGTCAGGGCTTCGCGCACTCGGCTGCCCATTGTTATTGACATGCCTGGTCTGAGAGAACCAAGACAGACACTGACTTCTGCTAGATTTGTTCAGAACTCCCCTCCGTCCGTCCTTGGACTGCATGCAGTCCAGCACAGTACAACCACTTTTGCTAAGATCCTGTAGTCAAGCCAAGGATCCCTATTTTAATGACATTTACTCAATAGGCTTTCAGATCAGAGTTTGGTCTTTTAAAACTTCAGGGGTCAGACTCTCAGGAGTACCTTTTTCAGGTATTTCCTAATTCGTTGTGGTGAAGACGATCAGAATCAGGGATTCGTCCCCCCCCGACTCAAGGCCGATCCTGTCCTCACGTACTTCAGAACGACCACGACAAGGCACATCAGGCATCGTTTGGGCGTGACTGTTGGAAGTGTAATTTACGACCCTCAACCCTAAAGACTGAAACCTCGATTGACTCAGGGTTGTTTTAATTGTTGACAAACTAGGGCTGTTATTTGGGTTGAGCTATACAAAATTTTAGGATTGCAAAGCAATAAACAGTCGATACTGTATTCGTTCATGTCTCTTTTCAATTCCCTCACTTGCCTCTACCTTTACGTCTACTGTAGCACTCTTGGGTGTCAACGCCTATTCTACTCGTCAGTCGTGCCAAAAGCCCCTTGCGCCTCCCGCTGCTGCACAGCAAGGTCTTCGAGTGTCCATTGATGGGGAAAGGAAGGAAAGAGTTTATTATACAATGCAACTTAACTTGGAGCTCAGGCGACAATTAGTTTTCTTCCTGTCGGTCAGGTTTAGATTGTGTTATCCGTCAAGGCCGGAAGATTCTGCTTTGTTTTGATTACTTTGATTAATTAACGAAGCCTCTGATCCTAAGACATCAATATTTTATTTAAACTTGAACTTGCCCGAACCAAAGGGAACCCCAGACCGTCAACAAGTCAGATGCCCATTCCCTCGACTTCAAACCCTGATTAGACTTCAGCTGTTAAGCCCGAAAACCCCACATGTCCGAGCAACACCGAGGGCGTAGAGCACCTTCCACACTAAACACCCCAAACTTTTTCAGGAACCGTAAACCGGACAGCCTGAATTTAACATTCAAATCCAAACGATTCGCCCGATTCGGACTGCTTGACCACGTCGTCCTGCTGCTGATTCTGTCATCATGTAAGGATTATACACTTCTGGTTCCGGGGCGGAGCGGGCAGGGAATCTACAGCGTTACGGGTTTCTATCAGTGACAGCATTCCGACTACACACATTCGCAGGTTGCCAAGCCCTGGTGACAACTGGGACTTCGCCTTCGCAAGGTCCACCCAGCCTCGCTTGTATCGCGACCCTTCTCTTGTGCAAAGTCAGTGACACTCAAGACTCATGCCGTTCAGAGTGTGCATGCTCCAACGAAAAAGCAGCTTTTTCGGCTTCGATTCGCCTTCGAGCAAGCTCTCTCCCTCCATCTTCTCTCGCCTTCTTTCGCAATGGCGCCCAAGGCAGCTGGTAAGAAGACCGCGGCGGCGGCGGATGGGGCCAGCAAGAAACAGCGCCTTGCCGAGAAGAAAAGTGAGGCTGTGAGGAGGGAACAAAAACAGGTGTTGTCCAGCGACAAGGCTAACCAGGCCATCATGATGGAACAGATCGTGGAGTGGTGCGAGTCGCACCCAAGGGGATTCGAACACATCCACCGCTCGATCATGCTCGGTTCCTATGACGCCTTGGACCAGAAGAATGCCCTGACGGACGCCGATGCAGACACAAGGTTGCCGAGCTACATGAACAAGTTCCGACTCCTGACCGTCCCGGTGGCCTTGGAAATCCTCGCCTTGGTGACGCCAGCAGTTGCCTCCTTCATAGAGAAGATGCTGAAGAAGGGGCAGAAGATTTCCAAGTTCGACGTCACGGAGGTCGTCGCCTTCGTCCTCCATGTGGATCTGCGCAGCGCCTTGCCCAGCAAGCAGAAGAGCCAGCTGCTCCAGTGGTGCAAGACCAGAAGCGAGGAGTCGGACAGTCCTCTCAAGTCTTGGTCTTCGTCTTCGGAGCCGGTATGCGAGACCTGGGAGGACGGGGATGTTCTGGTCTAAATAGGTACTTAAAATACCTATATATCAGCCTTACATTAATTAATTATGTACTGGATTGTTTTTTTTGGCCGGCCTGAAGCTTCTTGCAGGACTTCGTCGCCCATCCGCTCTACAAGTACTGGAACTTTGAGCATGCCGCCGATGACGGGGACCAGTCGACGTTCGGGGTCGTGCGGTACCTGAAGACGGACATTCGCCTTCGGCTTCCGAAGGAGATCCGCGGGTTCCCGATGAAGGGCCCCCACCTCTTCTTCACGGCCTTCGTGAAGGGCTGCATCAGCATCCCCATGACCCACGTCATGGAGCACAATGGGGCCGAGGCGGGTCCTGAGAGGCCCCTCTTCTTCGAGGCGGTTCCATCAGGCTCGTCTTCGACTTCGCCTTCGAAGCCCAAGGAGGCCGAGCAGCAGCCCCCGCCGGCTACGCCGAAGAGGAAGGCTCGCTCCGACCCGAAGACTCCCGGGTCCGGGCGCTCGGGCAAGGACCCGGTGAGCCCGCCGCCTTCGTCCGGCAAGCGCAAGCGCTGAGCCGGTCGTCTTCGTGGTCCTGGTCTTCGCAAAGACAATGGCCTTCGTCTTGGATTCGCTCATGTCCTAATTCTCACCAATACTCACTGCCACGAGTCCGAGTATAATCATTATTACTTTATTAGTACCTAGTAGTACGACTAGCCGTACTAGTACTTGTAGTAGTACTGTCGTAGTAGTAGTACTAGTCCTAGTAGTAGTAGTAGTACTAGTAGTAGTACTAGTCCTAGTAGTAGTAGTAGTAGTAGTAGTAGTAGTAGTAGTAGTAGTAGTAGTAGTAGTAGTAGTAGTACTAGTAGCAGTAGTAGTACTAGTAGTAGTAGTCCTAGTAGTACTAGTGGTAGTACTAGTAGTAGTACTAGTAGTAGTAGTAGTAGTAGTAGTAGTAGTAGTAGTAGTAGTAGTAGTAGTAGTACTAGTAGTCGTTGTAGTATTAGCACTCGTACGACTAGTACTAGTAGTCCTAAAGGTAGTAGTAGTTGTAGTAGTAGTAGTAGTACTACTAGTAGTAGTAGTGGTAGTGGTAGTAGTAGTAGTAGTAGTAGTACTACTACTACTAGACTAGTGGTGATGTACTACTGCAACACGTCGTATTCGACAAAGGCCGTTGTTTTTGCAGTGACTCTCTAGCCTGATGAGAGATTGTCTGCTGGGGCCAGCCCGGACACTGAAGTCCCCATGTCATTCGCTGTGGCCTTGGTCGTGTACTGTACACATACTCATGTTAGTCAGTAGTAGGATGCAAATCGTCCTTCGACTAAAGGCCTTGCCATCATCGAACATGGGGATGCAAGTGCATCGCTGGCGGTAGCCTAACTCACAGCTTCAGATTTTGATGAGCTCGGATGGCATGTCGCCGCTGGGGCCAGCCCGGTCACTGAATTCTCCATGTCATTCGCAGTGGCCTTGGTCGTGTACTGTATACATCCTCATCTTAGTAGTAGGGTGCAAATCGTCCTTCCACTAAAGGCCTTGCCATCATCGAACATGGGGATGCAAGTGCATCGCTGGCGGTAGCCTCACTCACAGCTTCAGATTTTCATGAGCTCGGATGGCATGTCGCCGCTGGGGCCAGCCCGGACACTGAATTCTCCATGTCATTCGCTGTGGCCTTGGTCGTATACTGTTTACATACTCATGTTAGTAGTAGGATGCAAATCGTCCTTCGACTAAAGGTCTTGCCATCATCGAACATGGGGATGCAAGTGCATCGCTGGCGGTAGCCTAACTCACAGCTTCAGATTTTGATGAGCTCGGATGGCATGTCGCCGCTGGGGCCAGCCCGGACACTGAATTCTCCATGTCATTCGCAGTGGCCTTGGTCGTGTACTGTACACATACTCATGTATACCTAACATATAGTCGTAGGATGCAAATCGTCCTTCCACTAAAGGCCTTGCCATCATTATCGAACATGGGGATCAAGTGCATCGCTGGCGGTAGGCTGACTGTGAAAATCTCATTCACAGCTTCAGATTTTCATGATCTCGGATGGCATGTCGCCGCTGGGGCCAGCCCGGACACTGAATTCTCCATGTCATTCGCTGTGGCCTTGGTCGTGTGATGTACACATACATACTCATGTTTTCATAACATGTAGTAGTAGGATGCAAATCGTCGTTCCACTGAAGGCCTTGCCATTGTCGAACATGGGGATGCAAGTGCATGGCTGGCGGTAGGCTGACTGTGAAAATCTCTCTGAAGCCGCCTCAAGGCATGAAAAAATACTGCTGTCTCGGCTGACTGTGCGGCAAATTTGGTTGATCGCTCAAGCCTGTTGTTTCTCATTGTTGCTGCTTGCCAGGCTATGCCGAAACCGGGACTTCTCAGCCCGCAACTCAATCACAGTTTCGCTCATGTCGGAAGGATGTTAACTGCAGGAAGTTGCCTCGCCGATTCTTTTCTTGTTCAGACAACCGTGTCATGACAGCTGCCCAGGTTGATGGATCTCCCGGCGTCTTGGTCTCTCTCCTGGCGACGACTTCGGCTTCGCCTTCGATTCGGTTTAATTGAATTCTATTTGTGGAATCCACTAAGAATGATTCATACTTGTCGAGCAAACGTCTATGTGAACCTTTACTAGATATGTTCTACCAATTGGAAGGATAGTTTCCGAATATCCTGACTGCCAATCAAAATGAAACACCCTGCCTGCTCCCCCTGCTGTGTCCATGTCATTTCATGTCCAAAAGGCTGCGGTGGTAATTTAAAGATACACCCAGGTTTTGCAGTGGTGTTTTTGATTTCTTGATTCCTGCTAATACAATTTATTTTTGTTTCTCTGTTGGAGCCATAGAAAAGCTTCCTTTGAAAAAGTAGATGCATTTGATTGATTACTACAAACAAAGTTCTCCAGAATCACGTTGTCCCCCCAGCCCCCCTGCTGCTTCACAATCCTCACATTACCCACAGCTGTTGCCGAAGACACAGAATCCCACGAACCCACTACGAACCCCCGGACCTTCTACGAAGTTCGCGGCAGCCGTTTGCTTAAAACGAAGTTCGCGTAAGGGCTGTCCTTCCCCCGCAGGCCGTTACCCCTCACCGTTTTGCCCTTATCATAGCGGTTGTGTTCCAGTAGGCTTCGCTGGTATGCCCGCCGTGGCAAACCTAGGATCTTCTATGGCAACAGAGTCCACTACCTGTGCACGAAGGCCGGCATTTCTGATGTAAGGCAGATCATGGGAACTATGGCGCACGTGGTCGAGGCGATGCTGGAGCGTTTGCGAGTAGATCTGACGGAGGATGAGATCGCCGTGGCTCTGCAGGTATTCAACCTTCGGCTGTGGCAGGAGACGAACCGACAACAGGAGCTAGTGGACTCTACACGCAAGCTCTGTGATATGCTCAAGCTTTCGCACGGTACAGCCGTGCTGTTTGGACGATTTGCTCGCAAATTGCATCCTCTTCTAGAAGCAGCTAAGTCAAAGGACCCAGGCTTCGGGAACAAACATGCGTGGTCTTGGTTGCTTCGGCCAGCGTGGCGTGCACGGCATGCACACAAACTTCCATGGACAGAGGATTGTCATGCCCTCATTGCTTTCTTCTTGTCCTTGAAGATCAACACGACCACGCTGGAAAGGGATTTGGGACACTTGCTCACACAGCTGGAGGCGCATTCCGGACCCCTCACTCCAAATGGCTCAACCATTGCCTCCATCCTCGAGGTGGCAGTTGAAGGTCCCCAGCGAGAGGAAGAATTTTTCCGGAAGCCGGAGAGCGAAGGTGCCGTGCTGACCCCAACTGACTTCGGGGTTCTTTGTGGTGAACTGTGGATTCGTCACTTTGGGCGTCGGTTCCGCATGACCTACAACAAAGAACGAAAGCAGGGGCCCAGCAAGCCACGCCAGGCACGTTCTGGAACTCTGGCTGCAATTGTCAGAGGCCGTGAAGCAGCCGCCGCCGAGGCAGCGAAGAGAGCAGAGGCAGCTGCTTCGAAAGGCAGGTCGTGGAAGCCGGCCTCTTTCGTGCCGGGCTTGAGCCTGCCTTTGCCGGCAGCGTCTGCCTCTGCCCAGAACAGCGTTGCTGGCACACGTTGGGCTTTCGCCCGCCCCACACCAGATGCCCTCAAGCATTTGGAGAATTTCCGTGCACGCACACAGCAGAAATATGACGGTGACTCAGCAGCACAACGGTTGCTTTCCGTGCTAAGTCATTTGAAGTGTCATACACATTGTCATTGTCATCCAGCCAAGGTCACCAAGAGGAAGCGCGGAGACGATCCTCTGGCAAGATTGCTTACACAACAACGGCGGCACGGCTTGGCGGTTTGCGCATGGTGCAGCACGGCCACGAGAAGGATCGGTCATCCGTCTTGCAAAGCATCCTCCGCAAACGAGCTCTGAAGCTATGTCCGGTCTATCGTCGCTACACGGACAGCAAGTCGCTGCAAGGCAACAAGCATTTCCAGATTCTTGGACCGTACGAGTATGAATCCGCCGATATCCTGGTCCTCGAACAACTGTCCGATGTGGAGACGGTCCGCAGCGACCGACTGGTCCCAAGCTTTTAATTAAAATGTTTAAAAGTCGGATGATGCCAGGCTTAGATCGTCACTGCTGGTACACGTTGACGTGTTTCATCCCAGGTTCCTGCCTTGATCATTGCGTACGGCTGTGGCAAAGTGCTTGCCTCCAGGGAGGCGATTCTGGCATACTTGGACAATCCGACAATTGATGCTGAGAAGTCGTTCTTGTCCTTCAACACAGCTGCAACTTCGAGGCTGGTCGGCCTTGAGATCGCCAAGAGCTGTCAACTGTTGCTCGGTGGCACAGACACTGAGGTTCAAGGGTTTCGGGTTGAAGGGTTTATTGTCTAGGGTTGGGTTTGGGTTCATTTAAGTTCAATCAGTCAGGACCCGTGCCATCGTCGAGGCCCTGCGATTCTGTGAGAAGTTGCCCCAGTCGAAGTGGCGTGTTGCTATCGGCACACCACTGCCCACTCAATTTGCTACCAAGAGGCGCACCACCTACAAGATCAATGGAGAGGCCGATATCTGGAATTTCCTCCGCACCGTCCGCGGGTTGTCCCAGAAGCGGACATTGTCCGGTGCTGGTGTACAGATGAGGCATTTGCCCCCCAAGAAACCCAAGAAAGTTCGTGCGTCATAGTCCTGTACTGCAGCAGTTAATGACAGTGCTCTTTGGCTCCTTGGCTCCTTGGCTCCCAGGTTCGCAGGCAGGAATTTTCCTGGGGTCGAATCATTTTAAGTCTAGTCGTTCGCACAGGAATGTACAGGGGGCCTGTGTCGCAAGGCAGGGTTAACCTTGTCTGGGGCAGCAGGTGCCTGCAACAGAGCCTGTTGCAAGCCCCTGCTCAATACACTGCAGATTGGTGCCAATCCGGGGCGTATTGGCAGGACAAAACGGCCTTGCAATTCACTTCCCCTGCAGTTGTTTAATTGCAGGACAATGGTAGGATGCAATACACCATGGATTGGTGCCAATCCCTGGTGTATTGACGTTCCATTTGTCCCTTGCAATAGCCTTCCTCTTTCATTTCAATACAGGCAGGATTCGCGCCAATCGCCGCGGCGCTACATCCAAGGGTGTTTTGGATGCATCCAAGGGTCCCGGCAGCTCTTGTTCCATGCATCCAAGGGTGTTTTGAGTGCATCCAAGGGTCACGTTAGCAGTGCCTTAATGATGAAAGAAGCACCTGTCACCCTTCAATGCACACGAATGACCCTTCAACGCACGCAAATGACCCTTCAATGCACATGTCACTTGTCACTGCATTGTCTGAGGCTGTTGTCGTCGACAAGCTGGACGTCGAGGGGCAGGCCCAAAGTCGTTTCATTTCAGTCATGGTTGGCTGTGTGGCTGAGTTGTCAGAACATGACAGTTGCATGCGACAGTGTGTTGTGTCAGTCTTGCCATGTCACTATCAGCATCTGATACGAGGCTTCTGCGGCAACAGGCTCCAAGGCTCCCTGGCTCACATAGGCTACTAGGTCCCAATGCCGCCTGCGAAAATGGCCGCAGCCGATCCTAAAGCAGCCGCCGCAGATATGGCACCCACCATCATCGCCGAGCCGGAGGAGAACCCAGTGATAGAGACTCAGTCTCAGAGATCTTGGTCGCGTCTCGGCTACTGTGCGCTGAGGGCAAGTGACTACGAGAAGAGTGTGGAGGCGGCTTCCGAGTTTGAGAAGGATTCCTATTACGAGTCACCGGAGATCGGCTTCCGTGCCTTGTTTCTGGCGACGAAACTGGACGCCATCACATGGCAGCGCAAGGAAGCCATGCGCAAGTTGGGGGCGGCCCCGTCTGCTGCAGACAAGCCTGTGAAGGCGAAGCTGCGCTCATCGCGCCGCCAGCTGACAGAAGCCATTGGGGAGACCCAGTTCGTGGTTCTCACACTGTTCACCAAGAAAAATCTGGCCGAAGCGTGCTCTGCAAGAGACATTGTGGTGGAGGATGGCGGCTACTATGTTCCGCTGTTCTCGGATCCTTGCCAGGAGCTGCCTTTCCACGACGAGGCGAACTGGAGCCTTGAATTCGAGTACATCGGACGCCAGGAAGTCTTTTCATTTATTGTTATTTAATTTTATATTAATTATAGGCTCAGGGGTTCAGAGGTTCAGGGGTTCAAGGGTTCAGGGGTTTAGGGGTTTAGGGGTCCAGGGTATTGCGTCCGATCAAGGCACGTCATGGTGCAGGCCACGACCAGCCGCGCCTGGCAGACCCTTGCACCCGGGCCCGACCTTGGCGGGGGTTTGGGCTTCATGTGCTACACGGCGGTCAAGTCGGAGGAAGGCGGCGGCGGCGGCGGCTTCGACATTAGCAAGGAGGACACATCTGCCCTCGTGAACTTCTTGGCCCGGAACCACGTGTTCGCTGCGCAGGGGGATCCGTTCCTTCCGGATCCCGGTGCATCCCTGTTCCCGGTTTCTTCGTCCACGCACGCAGCGGCCACGTTGGGTTTTTTTGCCCTCAAGCAGCTCGACATGGACATGCTCGAGTTCAGCTGCGAGGGCGTCATCAACCAGTCACCGCCGGTTCTCCATCCGATGGGGTACTTCTGGATGCTCAAGGGCAATGACCTGGCAGAGCGGATCCGCACCGGCAACTTGAAGGTACGCAGGTCCGGGATCGAGATGGTCATCGTGAGCATGAGCAACCCCAGGAAGCACTCAGACATTCTCCTTGAGGCTCAGCGCTCCAAGCTGGTGGAGCACAAACGGCGCTTGAAGGAACAGGTGGACGTCTCCAACAAGCAGCTCCGCCGCGACCAGGATGCCCTCGCTGCCGTTGATGCCCAGCTGAGGCGTCTCCCAGGCTCCTAGGCTCCCAGGCTCCAAGGTCCATGTGGCGCCGGCTTGGTGTCGTCATGTTTAGATGACTCATCAGCAGCATAGTAGGATTTTGATGCTTCCTTACTTTGCTGCCAACTTGATTTAAATGGACATGTAAAGCTCAAGCCGCTCGTCGACAAACTGTGGCAGGGCCCACGACTACAAAGGACCGCTGTCGACGTCAGTTTGTGTTTGTTTGCAGCATGTCCTGCACTGCAGCAGTCTTATTGCCTTGCGCTGCACCGCAAGACTCCAAACGGTTCCGTGGAAGGCTACTCGGCTCCCAGGTTCCCAGGCTTCTGTACTCGCGCTCAATGGCAAAAGTGCCGGATTTGCCCACCGACCCAACCGTTCTGAGCTCAGCATTTTCGGAGCAGTATGACGTGTGTGATGATGATGTGTGGCACGCCATGTGAAGCAGGCCAGTGCTCAAGAAGCCCTGGCAAACATCGTGCCATGGGCCCTTCGCTGAGTTCTTGATACCGTGTCCCGTCTCGCGGCTAACAGTGCTGCATGCCGTGCCTGCCCGAGGTCCGCAGCCAGCTCCCTCTGAAGTTTCCGCAGGCCAAGCAGATGTTCAAGACACCGCCGCTTGCCATCAACGCAGAAGCCAAGATGGGGGATTTGACCGGATACAAGGCGGGCGCATGTCGATCAATGTCATTTATTGTTTGACCGTTGTCGTTTGTCAGGCTGTGTGGAGCAAAGATGACTGCCAAGCGTCCCTGACATCATCTGGACTTTACGAAGCCAGTGGCCTCGCGCTGTGGCTGGCCACCGAAGCTTTTGCCAGTGCGTCTGAGGATGTGTGCTGGCAGGATCTCCAAACTTTCGAAGACGCTTTCTTCTCCAAGAAAGTTGCTTTCAGCACAGTTGTATCGCGTGAAGCTGCCAAGAAGAAACAAAAAACGTCACGAAACCGGCTGACGTGGCCTTGTGAGATGATTGTCCTCACGGAGTCAGCATCTGACGTGATTCACGAAGAGTTCAACAGCTCGTTGCATCTTGCTAGCGGCGTGTTTGTGTTGTGGGCTTGGTACTTGGCCGTCTTCAAAGCCCTAGTCTCCCAGGACAGTTGCTGCTTGTGTTCACATGACATGACATGTTATTGATTCATCTGACTGATGTGTGCTTGCACTTGGCAGGACAAAGCAGTTTTGGAGATTTTGTGGGAGTGTGGCTGCACTGTCACGATACAGGTTCGCTTGTGTTCCAGCGCAGGGGAGATTGCGAAGAGTCGCAATCTTGCTTCAGAGAAAGTCAAGGCACTCGGGCACCCTGGCCTGTCCGACACCTTTTGGACATTTGCAAAGACTGTCCAGCTGCTCAAGGTCGAAAAAGTCCAGGATGGTGAGGAACAGAACTTGAGGTACAACAACACCTTGTACAACAAGGCCTTACACCAGGCTGCCACAGCAGCTGTTGCAGTGCTGCGGGGTCCATCCGGTCCCGTGGAGAAGGCTGCCCGGAGATTGGAGCTGGAATTTGGGCGGGGCATCTTGAGCAGTCAGTACTCGAAGTTGAGCAAGCTGTTATCGCTGACCAACAAGCTCGCATCTGCTACCAGAAACGCTGTAGACCTGACGGCCTGGATGATCGACTCCTTGACGCTGGCCCTGCGCATGAACATGGTCACGCCAGCTAAATGCACCGAGAAGTTTCTGGATCGAGACCGGAAGACAGGCGATGCTGGCTTTTGGTTGTCGCGCATGCTGGTGGTGCAGGCATTGTAACTATTCTGACTAGCGTGTGTATTTTTTTTTTTGCGGAGTGTTGCAAGTCATCGGCAGCTTGAACACTGACAGAGGTCTTCGATTATGCAGCAAAGCTGGCGAACAAGTTGCCTGAGCCGGACAAGGTTAAGCTGACAGGGATTTTGGCTGAACTCCGTTGCCCTTCCACATGTTGGGAGAAATATCTCTGCCATGCTGATGCTGATCAAGGGGCTGCTGGAGAGGACGACATGGACGGCGAGGACCCAGAGGACGTGGAGCGCCCTGTTCCGCAGTCCAAGATTGGAGCTGTTAAAGAGGGTTTCAACAAAGCCATTGGCATGCTTTTGGATTTGCTGCTGGAGCTGATGTCGGGGAAGTACTACAAGGATTGCTGCATGCTGGCTTCGAGTGAAGATGGCCTTGCAAAGGCATTGACAGCTGCACAGCTTGGAAGCTCGGATGACACGGAGCACGAGGAGCCATGTGCGCTTATCACTCAGATGAAGATCATTGTCGACAAGTTCGACAACAGCACGAAGTCCGTTGGTGCCACATCTGCGGCTCCTGCTCCGAGTTTGCTCCAAAGCCTGGCCAAGGCTTCTGAAGCTGACACACCCGAGGAATGTGTCGAGCGTGAGCGGCAGTGGAAGGCGGTGCAAACGGAACGCCGCAAGTTCGTGTCGTTCTCGGTACCGAACAAGATCTCGAAGGACTGCCTAGTCAATGCGTTCAGAGGTTGCGGCAAGGTCTTCACGCACAAGGGCACCTTAAACTCTTCGCACCGCCTGATCGTTGCCAGTGCGGATCTCTTGGCAGAGGCTGGTACCGACCCGTGGCTCAAGGGCACTCCGCCAAGCGAGGAATGGAAAGAGATCTGTGCCTTTGCCAAAGACATTTCTGGGCCCGAGGATTTCGTCGTACTCTTCGACGGCAGAATGCGGGAAATTCGCCGCGTGTCCGAGTCTTGGCGGGGTGATGTGACAAGGCTCCCAGGCTCCAAGGCTCAAAGGCTGCACCTGGTTCTTTAAGGAAGACCTCCTGCTGAACCAGCAGCACACCGAGGAGTGCACCATCGTGTACTCAGGTGGGTGCCCGCCGAGAACTGGTCGCACTCGCCGCGTTCCGCTGGCTGCAAAGAAGGTGGAGACAGGAGCGGTTAAGTTCCCGGTCGCACGCACCAAGATTCAGACGACGAAGAAAGGCTCCTTCACAGTCTGCGGCGAGGCTTCTACGTACCAAGGCACTTACTCAGGCGTGGAGTACCGTGCGGTTTCTGAAATGCCCCTCGTGTCTGCAGACACCAAGAAGAAGATCATTGCTCCGGCAACAACCGGCGACCTCCCGACACCGCCAGAGGACTGGCAGGATCGCCACGGCTCCGACGTACCCTTGTTCTGGAACGAGTCGAAGCCGATAGCATATTGGAATGCCATCATTGAGGAGTTTTGCGCGGAGGCAGTGTTTGACCTCACGGCTGGCACCGGTGCTCTGATGGAGGCTTCTTTGACTGCCGGCATCGCATACCACGGGCTTTGCAGCACCCTTACTTGTCCAGTAGATTCGTCAGATCATTGTCATTTGATTTTATTTAAATTATCCGAGGCCTCAACAAGGAGCACATGTCGTGGGTCCAGGCGGTTGCTGATCGCGCAGCTTGCGGAATGATGGCTTTGGAGGGATCCACTCTTTACTCGGACGAGAATGCCAAGGCGGTGAAGAAGCATTTCCCGCACGTTCTGGAGAGCTTGTCCAACCAAGACGACCAGGACGAGGCACCTGCTGAGCCAGATAGCCCCCGCGATCAACCGCAGTGATGATGTTTCACTTCGACCGAATCCGCCAGCTCAGGCACCAGCTCAGGCACCTAGGCTCCCAGGTTCTCAGGCTCTTGACCTTTTGCCGGGCTCAGTTTTGTCAGTAGTGTGTAGCAGTGACTACTGTCGCCTGAAAAAGCCGAAATGCTCTTATTGTGGCATGACATTGAAATAGGACTCGCCGAGGATGTTGTTGTAGTCGCCTGAATGCATTAAAGCGAGCCGTTATGGCCCCAGGTTCCCAGGCTCTGAGGTTCCCTGCTTGGGTTCGACATGGGCTGCCGATGGAGGCCTACCAGACGCCTCTGGGGCAAAACCAGTCTCAAGACGGCTTCTCGTCGGATGCCCCGGGGGTGCCAGCATGGTGGCAGCAAATCGCAGAGCTTGCGGAAGCAGGCTGTGAAAGACGGCTTGGTCCCCAAGGCTCGAAGGGCCTTCGTCATCTGGTTCCAGGAAAACTCCGAAGTCAAGAAAGGCGCTCCCAAGCACGAGTTTCTCAATGAGATGAAGCATCTTGGCGCAGTCTGGCAGGGCATGACCGACAAGCAGAAGGCACCATTCATGGCGAGGAGCAAAGATGAGTTCATGGCTCAGCGAAGTGCACTGGCCGTTCTTGGCATCAGGATGCGGGGCTCCACGACCAGTGCGGGCGGCCCCGACGAGGCGAAGGACCCCCCTGCCGCTGACGAATCTGGCGGTCGCGTTGGCCCATTTGAGCTTAATGGTGCAAGGGCTCCAATTGGAGGCGGAGCCTATGGCAGTGTCTACAGTTGCCAGCATCCGCAAAGCGGCCTTAACGTGGCGGTGAAGGTTTATCGTGGCTCCGATGGCCCCGCGGATTGCAGGCACGAAGTGGAGCAGATGAAGCTTCTAATGAAGGCCGTTCCGCAGCAGAAGATGATGTGGTTCCCGCTTCTTGTCAGCTCGGGTGTCACGGGCAGACCTTGGCCATGGATGGCTACTAGCCTATGTGGGCCCAGCCTGGCAACCGCACTTCGAAATCCTGCGGCGCATGGCAAGCCGAGGACGTGGTCTGTGGCAGCTCAGCTGAGAAGTGCACTGCAGACCTTGCATGACGCAGGCATCCTACACTTGGATGTGAAACCTGGCAATGTTCTTTGGTGCCCTTGCACAGATCAGGTGCAGGTGTGCGACTTCGGCATGAGTGAGAACATGGCACGGCTCCAGAAGGCTTCTCAGGCTCCCAGGTTCCTGCAGTATGTCACGGCTGCCTATCGACCTCCGGAGCTGTGGCCCGCTCGTGTGAATGGCGATGGAGACTGCGGTGTCAGAAAGCAGCTGCTGACTGCAGCTGTGGATATGTGGGCCTATGCTTGCGTGGTGTTTGAGGTGGAGACCGGGAATCCCTTCATGCCCAAGGGGGAGGCCGGACTGAGAGCGTGGTGCAAGCAGTGGCCCGAGCTGTGGAAAACACGCAGCGACTTAGCCAATTGCCCCGCTGCAAGTCACACGTGCTGCACAAAGGTGCTTCGAGCCGGTAAATGGGGGCTGTTTGTGTTGGTCGGCTGTGCTCCAGACCCCGGAAAGCGGCGGTGGCCGGAGCTCTGTCTGAATCAGAAATGA